CAAACCATCCGGCTTTATTCCACATAGCATACATACTCACAACTGAAAACGAACGTATATAGACATTGATAGACACACATCATTTTTTTGGTGAGCTATTTAGCATATTCATCAATGCCCGTGTACTTGGTTGTGCGTGTGTGTAAGCTAATATCTGTATGCAATACCGGCCATCACTAAAAGTAATTACAAAACAGCCTAACAACGGACTGTGGTCATCAAGGTTTAATGACTCAAGACAAAGCATCACCGAGATTGCGTAGGCTGGAAAGGATTCCTGGCTGAGATGATGAGATGAGATGTAAGTCAGGCTACGAGACCACGCGTTATGATCAGCAGGTCAAAGGTCATTATGGCTTGATGGCTCAATACCTAAACATGGTATTGCGTAATCTCGTATGCCTGGTTGTGTTGATGCGTTAAGTAGACCTGAATGTGGCTGGAAGCATCACTGAACTGCAAAGTCAGGTTGCCAACATCAGCATCTCTCCCCTTCAGGCTATCAATTAAGCATATGCTGTTCTCATTCAACTTTCTACTTCCACTCATTATTAGCAAAGAATTCCCAAATTTATTACTTTTAATGGCCTATCTTATCTTACGTTTATTATATGATGTACCGTAATCGGCACATGCGTGCATTTGAGACCATTCTATCTCGAATCCGGTCTCTTTCCAGTGTTCAGCGACTACTGACCGTTGGATCGCCTCTCTTTGGCCAATGGACAAACAGGTCTGGCCAACAATCTTGTGACAATTGGGTCTTCATAATTCCTCTAATTCCTCTCTAAAAGAGGACAGGTTTTATTGAGGAATGACAACCAGTTTTCCCACATTCAGATGAATGATCCGCAAGATTACATTACATGTTAGCCAGTTTCAAGTGAGATGCTGTCAAGACTTCGCATTACCATCCCTCATCAGCTCGAATCTCGAGTAAGCGTGTTCCGAGTAAACTAGTGTAAATGCAAAAAATAGACAATAAATCATCTAAGATGAACTCGTGCCAATTAAGGTCTTATTCACGATTTGAATATAATTACTAGATTCGCAGGAAAATTTTTCTCCCAAATGGCAATGGATAGAAAGTGGCATAAGCTAATCCAATAAAATTCGCTTCAGCATGATACACCTACTTAGATGCATTTCAGTAGGAAGTTTACAAATAGCACGGCCAATTTAAACAAAATATTATGTAAATTAGTATTCTCTTAAAATTACTTGTGATGATGAGGACTTGTTAGCCCATTTGCAGGAGTTTTCTTGACTCGTTAGCTTAAATTTTGTTGTGACGATGTTACCTCGCTCTGATGATGTTCGTCATATGACGCACGAAATCTTAGCACCTTTTCATCGGAATCAAGGCAGATTGCATGAATCTTCCATGAATCAGCATGAATCACGCAACACTTTCACTCGAAATGGAAGTAAGCTCAACAATTATGAAACAAGAGATTCCTCGAAACCCAACTTTTCTTCATATTTATTTGCACAGCTCACCATTACAGGTAAAATGTATACACTACATTACCAGATTTATCAATATCATCATTGACTCTATACTTAAGTTGATATATATATATGTATACATATATAAAGGTGACCTTTTTGAACTCAAACCCCTATTCTGACTATACGCTAATTTATTGCTCTTACATAACTTGTGATGGTGAGGACTTGCAGAGACAAATATCTTGTTTTTTTTGTCTGCATCTACAGGAAAACACGAGTCAGAGACAGTGAACACTTATCCAAGCTAGAAACCGAGATTAAACTATTCATTCATGCTAACCTATTTCAGGCGAGTCAACATATACGAAGAAA